GTTAGTACTCAATGAGCGGGCAATATGGTGTTTTATCACCCAGTCTGTGTATCAGACACTGGCACGCCATTTAGCTCTCATTGAATTTATTACCCGATAAGGAATTGGAGGGAAGATAAGCTTTCGGACGCTAACGTGTGTCCTTATGTTCTAAATTTCCTTGTTTCAAGCCCATTTGAATGTGTACGGTCGGTTCGTTAGATAATTTTGTTCATTCCCAAGTGTTAAACTTGTTATTTCATTCAAAACGGACTGACCTAACATAACAGCTTGCAATAATCTTGAGTGGTTGGTTTTGATTGTCGCTTATCGAATGATCCACCCACAATTTACTGAAAACACACTGTTTACGGAGTCCTCAGTGTGTGTGTGTGTGTGTTATTTTACGCCAAATTTATACATTGAAGAACAATATATACACACATGCTACATAACAGAAGGGGCGCGTTTTAAATTTTGGGGCTAATGCCAGTTAATGTTATTTTTTAGTTCAAGTTGTTGTTTCCTCGTACACCGAGAAAACTGACGATAAAAATCTTTGTTCTGCAACGTTCCTGCACCTCTAAACGAAGTTTTCGCAGAACTTTCCGTGGCGGATTGTTTGTTATAATCCCGCATAGTCTAAAGCTTGAGAGCTGTGATAATTGTAAAACAAACATGTTTTGACAGCAAATTGGTTAATAAGTTGAACCATTGTGTTCGTTAAATGCGATCTGTCACAACCTCACACAGGAAAGGCATCAAGATTTGAAAAGATTTTGAAAGCACAAAAGAAAGTAAATGGTCAGACGTCCGTCACAATGCGCCGAAAAAGCTTCCTTTAAAAGACTAACAGAAAACTGCTTGTCAAACTACACATTAGCTCTAATGCTGCGAAACAAAAGATCTCTTCGACGCCACTTGAAATATGGTAAAAGCCCTCTGCTAAGCGTCCCGATTGTTCGGACAAAGATGAATCCGAGCGTAAAATGGCGGATTGGTCTTTAACTAACACTTGCTGAGAGGAAAAATGATGCTTGGAAAACTGTCCACGACGGTGTAGAGTTTCACTTTCTCCTGGCATCAGCAAAAAAAATTGTCATTGAATGAACTTCCTTTAGCGCGACTGTGTGCTCATTTGCATGCTATCGGTAAAAGGTTACTATTTACTTCGTATACTGACAGCCCGGAATAGCGGCCTGGAGCCATTAAATCAGGGAAACTTGCCAGATACTGCCTCTAACAAGAATAGCTCGTGTGTATGGTTGAAATCCTCTGTCACACTAGCTGTTACTACTGTTTGTGGGCACAACCCACAAGGTTTCCTCACAATAAAAACAAACAACCCGTACATATGACCTAATAGAAATATAAAGTACACTGCAAGTTAGGTTACCGTCTTCTGTTCTTTCTCTAAAATTGCTGTTTCACTGTGTGACACTGTTTGAAATAAAACTTTAAATTCATGTTTAATTGGTTCATGAGTCGTTGAATCACGTCTAGCTCAAATAAAAATAGAATGAAACCTGCACTTCCGATATGGTACAGATTATTTTTCTGCGTGGGGAATTGGAACTTGTTCAAGAATCTAATGATAACACAAACGGTAAAATGCAACTCACTATTGTCAAAAACCCTTGCCTGTTGGCAGGCTCTCGTCTCTTGGTTTTGCATTCGGGCTTCTTTTTGGCCCGTCCAGCGTGCAACATGTCTCACGGCTTTGCCGCTCTTCCACTAAAAACTCCGATCGAGATAGAGTCAATTACTTTGGTGGTTTTAAAATCGGGTAACGGTAAATTTCCTTCGTTGAGTCTTACTGAAAATTCAATTATCCAATAACAATTCCATCTTCCTTAGAAACTTCGCAAAAAAGGGACAACTGATCGAAAAGAGTAGGAGACGTAGTTCCCGGTGTGGTGATCTATCTCTCATCTGATGGTTAAATGCTCGGAGATAGCTGCATAAGCTACTCTGAAATCCGAGGGTAAATAAAGTAATGTATGTATGTTTGTAACGTCATCATTTAGTAGACCCATCGAGGCGCTGTCCTCTAGTATTAATGGCTTTTAGCACTCGTCACGTTTATAATCAACAATATGATGAAAAAAAAATTTTTTTTTTTCTCCTCCTCCTTCCTCTGGTCTCCCAATGATTTATCTATGCTGTTTACCATTTACCCAAAAATTCCGGAAGTTTTGGTCAGAATGCAAATAGTGAGATTATTTTGGCTCAACCGACCGGAAATTTTCGAAATAAACGGAACGTCTTGAAAGCTAGTGCAAAATTTCCAACCAAAATATCGGAGTGGGAAATGTGCTTAGCATTTGCAATTCTTCACCGCCATCTTGGAAATATGATCAGGTTGAACCTTCCTAGTCTCTTTCGGTAAACTGGGGATTTTTGAGTAAATGGTAAAAAGGCCAATCCGAACGAAACTTACCATCAGGCTTTTTTGCTTACCATTTGCACAAACTGTTGACGAATGGGTTTCTCTGTGTAAACGGTAAACAACCGTAGTATCGGCTCAGCACGAAAACACACGTGGTACGGCCTTCACCGTTAATGGTCAAAGAAGTATATATCCAACATACTTAAAATTTTGATCGCTCAAGGATTGGCCATTTTCGGGATGGGGAGTCTACTTATCATGTAAAAGATTTTCTTTCTTCTTCTTCTTCTTCTTCTTCTTCTTCTTCTTCTTCTTCTTCTTCTCTTTCTTCTTCTTCTTCTTCTTCTTCTTCTTCTTCTTCTTCTTCTTCTTCTTCTTCTTCTTCGAGATCTATAATTAAATATCACTAAAGACACAATAGATCAACAAAACTAATTTAAAGACATCTTGTAAGAAAGCATATACTTGAGCCGCAAGCCGTACTTCTCTTCAACATTGAATTAGATTATGAGCTCGAGAAATCTATGAGATGATAGTTGATGAGGCCGAAGACCTCATCAACTATCACCTCATAGAAATCCCGAACTCATAATCTAACTGTTTTAGTAGAATTCTAACTGAATTTTCCTTCAAATAACGATTTCAATTATTTCTGATCTTATTATTAAACTTCACTCTTTAGAGAATTTACACGGACTGAATTGTCAATTTGAATTTCCAGTTGTGTACGCGCGCTTATCAGTTTCTATCAAAATTTTCTAGCCTTTTAATTCAAGAAACCGTAAATGCCCTCCTGTTAGTCTTCTCAGCAATTTGATTATCCATTTGTTTCTAAACGTTCTTCCAAAACTGCGGAGAAACGAGGAAACGTTGCAATTTTGTTGACCACACCAAACCAATGAACACTAATGGCTGATAGTGTGCAGTGGCTCAGTCAATATGATTACAACATTTGCATCACTGGTATACTAGTAGAATTCTACTAATAAATAATTAAATTATGAGCTCGAGATTTCTATCGCGTGATAGTTGACGAGGACGCAGCCCGAGTCAACTATCATGCATAGAAATCGAGAGCGAATAATCCAATTGTTTTAGTATAAATTTACTCGTCGTTCATAACTTTATCTAAATCCTCTTCACAGACACTTCGAAAACGCCAAGAGGCGGCCGTCATTTTGTTAACAAGGGCACATGACATTAACAAAATCGTAGCCCTTCTCAAACGGTTACTCGAATGGAAGCCAATTCTGGCTAGCTAAAGGTCATATACCAGAGCCGTGAACTAATTTTAGAGGTCTAAAATAGGGGATCGTTTTCTGGCTCGGCTATGAAATAGGGTGCGGAAAATCAAAGATTTGGTCTGAAATAGGGTAGGGCTTCAGGGTTCGGGGAACACACACCCACCAAAACCTTTAGGGAGTAATCCCCCGGAAAACGCTCATACTTTTATGCGAAATGAATATTACTATCACATCCAAGCTGCGAGTTACATAATCCCGACGGGGCTAAAAGACACTACAGCGAGAAGAGGCAACCTGGGAACGAGTTTCGGCCTCAAAATTGGCCATCTTGCTATTTTTTTTTTTGTCTTTTTTTATATATATATTTCCACCAGTTGCCATATGTTACACGAGCAAGCATAGCAATTGTGTACCTTGTCCATCTTTTTACATCATTCAGGGTTTCTTGGAAATCTTACTTTATATTTATGTTTCACTAGGCTTGAAGAGAAAGCTTGCAACTGCTCCTGCTTATTATCCCGAAGAACTCGTCTCGCTTCCTTTTTACACGTGTGGTGGTCTTTGTAATTGAATCTTGCTGAAGCTAAAAGGACACGGAATTGAACTGAACGATTTTGCAAGAGGATGGAACATTTTCTGATTCGCTATAACGATCTATAACGATAAATGGTGTAGTTCAGAGGGAATCATGGAGTATATGCTCAAACGGGAAGGGAGGGGAGGCACGAATGTGATCAGTTTACATGTAACTGATGTGTTTGCTCCTCCCTTTCCTTTTTGTGAAAAAGCAAGACCGCGGCGCTCATTACTGATTGGTCAAGCGAGTGGTTAATATCAAAGTGGTTATGAGCCACTCAACTCGGAAAATCGATCGTCTGTAAACAGTGACAACTTTGATACCACTGACTTGAGGTTTTAATCCGTAGGTTAAGTTAAAGTTAAAGCGCGCTGGCATTGTTAAGAAATGGGGCAAAACGCAACGGTAAAAGAATACACGAGGATATGCGACACCGTCGAAAAAATTTATGAAGTTATCGATTATCCTTGTCCGAGACACCGAGACAATTATAAAGAAAGTTCCACTTCTTGTCCGATCACCAAAGCAAGTAATAAGTTTCATTTTCATTCCTATTTATTTTTTTCGTACTTTACCATTTTTATAGCTGTGAAGGTATCCTTTAGGGTGCACTCGGAGAAATAATGATGAAAGAAACGCTCTCATTTAATTTCTGTTTTTAGGCTTGATTTCCGCTGATCTCTCGAGTACGCGAGTTGGGTCTAGAAGTGCGCGTGGGATCCTTTCTTGAACAGTGGCTAGTAATCGAACCTACTCTGTTTTAACTGGTATCTTTTAGGGGTCTAATGAAGCTCGAGCAACGCCCACATTAGTTTCCTTTAGGAGTTAAATTCAAATTTTCCGATCAGCATCCCTTACCTTTTTATATGGGAGTTCCCGCCCCCTGGGGCTGCAAATGTCTAACAAGAAGTGACTGAGTGAAGGAGTGAAGGGTTGACGGAGTGAAATCGTTCCACCACTACAGCTTGGAAAATATTATTTTCCAAGTTAAAAATGACCTTATCTGTAATTTAGATCGACTCGTGATAATTTTGACGTGGGGTGAGCTTGCATCCTACATTTATTACATTTGCCATGGAAGGTGCTCCGGAAAGCCCGAGTGCTACGACTGGTTCATCTCACCGTGTCGCGACGTTCTTTGGACACACATTTCCAACTAGGGCCTTTCTTGACCCACAAGTTTAGGTAATGGCACGTTTCAGAGTGACCTGAGAAAAATTTTGCAAAGTTTGTGGTCACGTGCAATGGAGTAGTGTTTTATCAGTGTCCCACCCTTGGAGAGTACCTTGGTGGTTTCACGCCTTAGAAAGCGGAACAGCTCCTGTATGGGCCACTTTAGCCGAACAGAAATGTTCTCACTTAGCCAGAAACCTAAATTATCAGTTACGAGTTAAGAAAGGCTGATGTTTCTTTCTTTGCTCCGGCGAAGGGTTAGAGCTCGAGATGCCAGCTCATCAAAAATGCCATAGACCAGTCCTTGAACGCTCGCGAAGGGAGAGTTCAGGGAGTGGACTAACATTTTACGGCGTTTAATTTACCTCCACCAATGCACAGCTAAGTGTCTTACTTGCTTGCCAAAACAGCGGACAACAAGTTTTTTTAGAAACTTAAAAATCTGCAGACTTGTTGACATTTTGTTAGGGCCACTGCATTCTCGGCATTGTCTCATTTCAAACACTGGATACGCAGTAGCCAAATGGTTAGTGTGCTGGACTCCAAATCAAGCGGTCTGGCTTCGAGTCCCGGCCGGCGCTCTGGTCTTGAGCAAGACACTTGACTCTCACAGTGCCTCTCATCACTTACATGTATAAATGTGTATGGGCGAATTTAATGCTGGGGGTAACCCTACGATGGACTAAGTCGCTCCATGCCACACAAGAGTTGCATGGACCACCGCCGGTCTGACGCAGGCTTTACCTTTTGTCGTAACCCTGTCTTCCTGACCCCGTAGCGACTGCAAACGGTATATTGTGCTTGTGAAGGTGACGCACGAACTTTTCTACGCCTAAAACCAAAAAAGATTGCGAGTTAAAGGTGAAAAATAATAAAAAAAAAAGGAAGAAAAAAGAGAGAGAGAAAAGTTCGTGCAGTGCGATCGTCTGGGTGACTTTCTATGGAACGATCTGACTTTACTGTGAAACGATCTAAATTGGAACGATCTGACTGCAAGTCATATATATGTTTTCGAGAAACGCGATCGTACCTCTCTACATTACGCGCCGCCATAATTCCGAAATTCAAAATATACTGGTTTTCAAACGAAGGACGCTGTCGAGCTGAAAAGCTGTCAACATAAGTACATTTCGCACCTGATGATGATAGAAACTCTGGTGGCTCTTTAGCTTTGGATGTTAGAATTTGATGAAGTCACATGAAAACGATCTATTAAAAGGACGAGAATTGATCTTTAACCTCCTAAAATATCCATTAGGCACTATGAAGGCAAGAGAAGTATGGTTCTTTACATTTACTTGTTTTCCACGCACATCAATGTTATTGCTAAATCTCACCTTAAAATTTCCACCTTTACTTTAGGAAATGTTGTATTGAACAAACTCAGACTTTGTGCTACAACACAAACTGATTTGCGGTCTATCAGTAGTTACGTATACAGACGAACCTCTAAAAAGCGACCACCCTCTGTTAAGCGGACAGTCCCGAAATTGTTGTCAGTAAAATACTGTAAATAAAACCACTATACATCTCTTAAGCGGCCACGGCCACCTTTTGGCCATCCTGATGAGAGTTGTCTACTTTTAAGCACCCACCCAATATTTAATATCTACATAGTTTGGCTTTGTTTTGGAAAAGGTGATGACAGAGACGAGTCTGAAACAGCAAGTGACCACTGATAAAAACATTCAAATGCAAGTGTATTGTTGTCCTTACATGACTCCACGTTTCCTTAAGGCATGTTTGCATTTGAATAAAACTGACTTTTCTACTAAACCTCATTATAATTCATGACAAACCCATATAGCTGGTTTTCACATGACGTCACTAAAATTCGAACTACAAAACTATTGATCTTCCTGAGATTTTACTTAAATGATGTATAAGAGCAGCTGAAAACTAATATTCACACAAATTTTTGCTCCTAATGAGTTCTTGGTTTTGTGACAAACTACGCTTGAATTTCTAAGCTTTTGCGTGACGCGGCATTTACATGACGGTCTAGAGAGCTGTCATGATGGTTAAAAGAGTGACTTATTTCGGGGAA